GCTAATCAGGGAAGGGAGGGGATGCAGAGACAAGGGAGGGGCAGTCAAGAAACAATAGTGCAGCCTTGGGGCAGGGTCCTGGTTCCACCTCAAGGGAGACACATAACAATATCTTTAAGCTCTTTACAATCCCAAAACCCCCAACAAATGGAGTTAGCATTCTTCACTCCAGAGAAGACCACCTGAGGCCAGATTAAAGAAACCAGAGAAGCTCATGGAGAGATTGCCTGAGACCAGATGAAAGGACTGCAGGCCCTGCACATACCCTAATCCTATCAGCAACCCCACCATTGAACCATTGCTATAAAACTCCTTACCAAATTCCCCTGGGTTGGGACACACAGTTTTCAAGGGAAGGAGCTCGCTGTGTCCCCCTTTGCCTGGCAAAGCAATAAAGCGATTCTTTTCTACTTCACCAAAAAAATCTGTCTGAGATTCGATTCGGCACTGGTGCACAGAGGCTGAGTTTTCAGCAGCACTGACAACCTGTATCTCATTATAGCAACCCTAAAATATACATACTATTGTGATGTACATCTTACAGATGAAAAATTTAAACCACAGAGAGGTTAAGTAATTTACCCAAGGTTAAACAGCTAACATGGGGTAAAGAGACCATGTGGTTAACTGCCACACTCTATGCACCATCTTACTGTGTGACACTGACAAATTTAACTAATCAAATTTTGTCTGCTTCTCATAAACTGGAAAAACAAACCCTTGTTAAAAGCTTTAAGGTAATGATCAAATCACACTTCCTCTCTACTGAGCATAAAACTGTAACTGAGTAGGACACTATGGGGCCTTCCAGGGACAGACCTCTCCCCAATATCCTCTGCTTTAGCTTCTCTCTGAAGTACCTAGATAATAGTACCTGATACACATTTCCTGAGTTGTTTTACAGATGCTAAAACCCACACCATGTAGCCCTCCAGACTACTGGAGCCTAAGGATTGATAATGTTAATCCCTGTAACATGGCCCTGTTACCTCACTATCAACTGATCAGAGAATTGCCCAGAAGCTGATCACATACGCTGGGATGTCCCTCTGTCACCCTGTCTTTAAAAATGCTTTGCTGAAACCCTTCAGGGAGTTCGGGGTTTTTGAGCACTAGCTGTCCTGGACTCCTTGCTTGGCACCCTGCAGTAAATGCTACACTTTGCTTCACCACAACCCGGTTTCAGTATATTGGTTTTACTGCACGCAGGCGAGTGGACCAAAGTTTGGTTCCGTAACAAAACTAAAGATTTAATTAATCCAGATAACAAGATTATACTGTGAAAACATATACCATAAGAATAGAGGAAAGGGAGGTATTATCTTGATGAAAACCAGGGTGGGGAAAAGCCAAAGTTTTCCTATTAAAAACAGAAATTGAAATGGTACAGATGGCCCAAGGTTTTTTTATTTTAAACTCATAAAACTTGTAAAACGTTTTATATCTACAACCCCCTCCCCCAAGTAGCAATAATGCTAAACGTAGAAATAAACTTGATGCAAAACATTTGTTTCTGTATATTTCCTTCATGTCACATTTTAAGATAGGAATGTACATTTTCCTAGTCAAAATCCCCCTTGCCCTCTCTCACAGGAAATTGTGCCAGGGAGTGGCAGAAGTGCTTGGCAGGGCAAAGAGGATCTGGAACATAGGTAGGTAGGACCCAGCCTGGTTGATGAGCACATATCTCCCTGCCAGAGCTAGGAGAGAATGCTCAGGCTGGGTTGGGTTGAGAATGGTAAGAGACAACTCAAAACAATTTCAGAAGCATTAGAAAGAGTGTGCCTGGCTAGCTAACTCCTTTGATGATGGGCTCCAGTGGAGGGGTTGTGGGCAGGGGGTGGGATGGTGGTTCACTTTTCCCAGGAGAAGGAACACAATGGAAGCTTCAAGTCCCTAACACAGTAGTAGAAAACTAACCTCTCAACTATGAAAAACCTTTCGTAGCAGATAACTGCTAATCAAAAGTAGTTTGAGCTGCTACCACTATGCTGGGCCCGGGGCTTGCAATGAAGCATAAGGCATGGTCCTTGTGCACATGCGCTCAGAAGCCCAGGTGAGGACGATGGATAGTCAAATAGACACACAAATAAGAAAATACCTTAGTTACAGACTAAAGCGATTTCTGCTAAGAAAAAAGCCTGCTTATGGAGAGCATATAACAAAGGAAAGTGGCCTGTGTTGGTGGGATATTGAAGTTTTCCCATTTGACAATCTTTTATAGTGATAGAACAGTTGGTAATGTAACTGAACTACTAACACTGAAAGCTACCTAAGAAATCCATCCATTATAGTAGATGACATAGAGGTTTCTGTAAATATGGAAGGAAAAGAAATGAGCTCTTGATAGATTTATTGAGATTAGCACTGCTAAGTAGACCAGACTCTAACAAGCAACATTTAACAAACCTTATTCTAGTCGTTTCATTGAGTCCATGTTCTTATGTTGTTATGAAACCAAGGTTTCTCACCTATTTCCAGTTATAATACCCAGCTGTGGCATGGGGTACTTTATCAGTTCTCACAAATCTCCAAAGAGGTAAGCTAATGTTCTTAAATGCATGCCCGCTGAGAGAAATTTTACAAATCACAACACTCTATAGCTCAAAGAGGAGAGCTACATATTAATAAAAGTAAAACTGATTTAAAAATGAAAGAAAACTATATTTAATGTATTTTAAAAATATATTTTAAAATAATATTTAGCATAGTTAATCTTTGAGGCAAATTTTGATAACCCTTAATTATTAAATACTGCTATATGAAGGTCGAGTAACTGTAACCATATTTTCTCATAATAAAGATAACACTCAAAGATACCGAAGAAAGGAACTGATTAAAATGGAAAGGGAACTGCTAGTTGCAAACAATAATCTGTTCTGTATTTTAAGCTGTTTCAGTAATAGTTAAGACTGAAATTTCTTTCAAGTTAACTTAAAATACTTTTATACTTAGCCCCATCTTTATCCTTCAGCTTAACCAGAATATAATAAGCATCATTCTAAGGAGACAAGAACGTGAAAAAATTTTTTCCAGTACTCTGCGGATGTTTTTTTCATTTTCAATGTGTTGAATTCTTAAATTCCAAAAACAAAAAACAAACCAAGCAAAACCCCTAAGAATTTACAAGTTCTTAAAATATTTCTATCAAAGTTTTTAAGAGATTTTGCCAGGAAAAGTCTGCCATATTTAAAACAGTATCAGGGCTTCCCTGGTGGCGCAGTGGTTAAGAGCCCGCCTGACGATGCAGGGGACGTGGGTTCGTGCTCCGGTCCGAGAAGATCCCACATGCCGCGGAGCGGCTGGGCCCGTGAGCCATGGCCGCTGAGCCTGCGCGTCCGGAGCCTGTGCTCCGCAACGGGAGAGGCCACAACGGTGAGAGGCCCGCGTACCGCAAAACAAACAAAACAGTATCATTCCTAACTCCTGCTGTGCATCCATAAGCAGGTTGTGGATTTCAACCAATTCAACCCACCAAGGCCAGGAAACTGATCAAAATGATTTTGAAGTCCCATGCCTACTAAATTTTATTCTTTATCCTCCTGATACATTAGTATGCAAGACATAATACAAAATCTTGATCCACCTGTGTGTGACTAAGTTTGCAAAAACAAGAAACACAACATCACGAGAGCCTGAATGGGAGATCTCCTAGATGATGTTTTGGCAAATATGAGGATGCTGGGCTCACCTTTGCAGCACGTCGGGAAGTGCCCACGACTTAGAACTTCGGCATATGTTGGGGTATCGGGTGCTCTGCCAGGGTTGCAGACGCGGCTCGGAGATGTGCTGTCTAAAGCATTGCTACTCAGTCCCAGGCATCAGCAACTGGAAAGGCAAACTCGCGGCCCTCACCAACTGAATCAGAATCTCTGACGAAGGGCCCAGGACTTTGCTTTAACAAGCTCTCCAGGTGATTCTCAGTCTCACTGAAGTGCAATAACAAGAACTTCTGGGCCCCTGCGTGTTGGGTGTAGGACTTGCTAGAGACAATAGGTGAAGGAGATGAAGCTCCTCCACACGAGCAGCAGGGGCCTCACTTAGGAGCTTGCAATGCAGACTCTCCTGACCACAACTCCAATCAGAGCCTGCATTTTAGTTAATCGATTTCCTCTGTGCGCCCCGGAGGGTACTCCCTTGGGCAATCAGCCCCTGCCCCCTTCTCCCTGTCTTCTCAAGTAGTAGCTAGAATGCTCTAGGCTTCTTTTCCCTCTTTCCCTTATCAAAATCCCCATTTACCCAACAATTTGCTTCAGCCAGGTGTCAGGGGTGAGTGATTTTTCTGAGCTAATGAGCTTTAGTGTAGAGTTCCTGATAAAACTAATAAAACTCAATGTGTTACTGATTCCTGTAATGTCAGCATTAAAAAGTTAAGATTTCTGGAGATGCCTATATTTTAAGCCCAAGAATGAATCTAATGGTGGGATTCTAAGCACAGTGAGAAACTGGTAGAGAAAATAAAGGTTCTGTGGGAGCTGGAGTATTTGATATGCTACAAATCAGGCATGAGGGAGGCTGAGCTGGTCCTGGTCTTCCCCCTGGATTCCTTACCTTCCTATTTAACAGGAACTGATTGAACAAAGAATTCATCTCCAATTGAATGGGAGCCTATCAACTCCATTCAGCTATCCCCTAGGTTTGTTACAACTACTGAATAACTCTAGCCAACTGTGAGTCCAGTATTCAAGGCGTTTTAGCGGCTCCAGGAGCCCAGGAATATAACTCAAACTGAGGGCACGCCTGGGGTGGGAGTGACTTTGAAGGCCCCATCGGCACCAGTACTTTGCAGCACCTTGTAAAGTCCTGGAACCGCGCCCTCTTGCGTTCTCCACCCACCCACCCCAGCGCCAAATCTGGAAATCTGTGATCACAGGATGGGGATGGTGGCAGGGAAACATGGGTTTAAAAAAGTTTTCTAGGCAATTCCGATACACATGCCTGACTTCTCCAACGGATAATCACTAATCAGTTGTATAAGTTTTATTATTGCCCATGAAGCTTTTATACACAATTCAAGGGTGGCTACACTGTTATTACTGAAGTGCGACATATCATAAAAGTACAAGTTTTCTTTCACATATGTGAAATGTTATTTTATACCTCAATTTGATCCATGCATGATTTGAGAAATACAAGTTCTCAACCAAAACATAGGTCTAAGCATGCAAAATCAACAGCTATTCTAATTTTTAATTTTGAAAATCTCTTGAACTTTACTGGTGACTCTTTTAACCTTGCACCGTTTCAAAGAAAAACACAAATTGAAGACAGCTACATTTATTAAACATTTCTTCATCAGTATGAACATCGACAATGCACTGAACATTGCCAGCAAACAGCCTGCTGGGATTGGGGCAATCATTTATTTTCGCTCAAAATTCCCAGTAAGGTTTGAAAATATGTACTTCTGCCAGTTTAACCTTGGTTTCTGTGATTAAACTAGAACTGAAGTAAATAAACCAAACCAAATCTTTTGAATTTCAGTTGTTTACAAGGTACCTCATTGACAGGAAACAAGCCTTTCTAAAGTGGAGATTGTGGCAAATTTTTACAAGACAATAAAAACCATTTTCCCCTTTATATTATAAAAACAATGTTACCACATATAGAGGGGAAGATTAAATTCACCCATAATCTCACCACCCTAATGTGTTATCTTTTAATCTCTATCCACAAACATGATTTCTACATAGTTGTAACTTGTGTATTTACACAATTTTGATAAAATCACTATTTAAATCCTCATATACAGGACTGTATGTATACTCCTCTTTAAGAAAATTATACAGTGTAAAACCTACAAAATGCAATATGTCCATCAATCCCAAAATACCCAAGAGCTTCAACCTTCCAGACCAAACTACAACTGCGTTTCTTTCCTTCTGCATTGGAGCATATAAACTATGACAAGGCTAACATTGGTCTGAGTTCACCATCCGTAAAATAGCATAGGTAAAACACTGCTATAAATTTTTAAAGTTATCTACATCGTTTAGCACATTTTCTTTGTGCAATCTTTATAAAACCTTAAAATTCCATCTTAAACATCTCCATACTAATTGAATCAATAATCTTCAATCATTCTTAATTATCATTCCACTTTTCTTGAGCTTGTTTTTTAGGCAAAGTGGTTAATACACGTGAGAAATAAAGGGCATCTGCATCAAGTACACTTTCCATGCCAAAGGAGCAAGCAGCACTATTTAGGTAGAGTAGGTTCTGTGATGGCAGAAATACCAGCCTGGGTTTAGCAGATGTCGTCTGTGTGATCTTGAGCCAATCATTTTGTCCCCTTGCACTTCAGGTACTTTACTGTAAAATGTAAAATGAATACTTGCATTCTATCTCTTTGGGGATATCATTGCAAAAACTAGAATATAAGTAAAGCATTTTAAAATCCTCAAATGAAAAGTACAACATTTTTTAAAGATTTCATTTTTATTAGGATTGGTTGACAAATATAACTTATTATTAACCTGTATACTAAAAGTTCTCTGTATCATTCAGGTTAAAAAGTTATAGATGAGTTCCCATTTTCAATGTTTCAAAAACAGGTTTGGAGAGCGCGCTGAACTGGTTTCACTTGGTGACACACTGACATCTAGTGGAGATTTATGGTGTGCTATGGAATACCATACACCCCACAATAACTCCACAGTTCTGGTGGGGGCAAAGAGAAGCAAAAGCACCTTTTGGTCTTTATGCGAAGCATCAAGAAAATATACAAATGAATTAAAAAACAAAGGTACACTTCCTGTATATTTAAGTTTTCCCTTGTTCAATTAAAAATACCGGCCAATTCTCAAGACATTTAATCAGAAGTCGTGGGATGATGTGCGGTGGGTAGCAACAAGCTCCTCAGCACTGTAGCTTTGGGAGATCCCAGAAAACCTCCCTCTGATTCAGAGTTTAAAGGAACAACATAACTATGTGCTCAGCTGCTCTTCTTTTCCTACAACCATGGTGAGCAAAGCTGGGCGGGGGGGGGGGGGGGGGGGGGGGGGGAGGGCAAGGGGGGGGAAGACAAGGCAGGGGAAGGGAGGGAAGGGAAGGAAAATGTGTGGGAAGTAAGTTTTCTAGATTTTTCATTACATCCTGTGAGTTAAATTTTGTACCTCTTTGTGGCTAGAATTTTATTAAATCGAGGGAGAGTTTCTTTAAGCAAACGTATGTGTAACCTTTTTGGCATATCACGAAACATTTATCTAAACCTGCTCACTTAGTACACTGCATTTACTCTGGAATAAAAATATAAAATAAAATGTTTCTACAATTACACTTAGTTTTCACAAACGTCTAGCACCATCATTAAAGTGTGGCTCTGTGTTTCCTCTTCATCCCTTCCAAAGACTACAAGAAGCATAGCTGAGTGGCCTTGGGAGGAAGTAAATCTGACACTCACATTTTTAACACGTGACTATTTAAATTAAGATAAATATTCACTGGAAGATTGTCACAGTCACATCAGATCTGCTTCAGTACCAATTTAATTTAAATTTTGTCTCCCCACTTCCCCACCCCCTTTAGTGAAAGTGGGAAGATCTGAGTGCAGCTGGTCTACCGGATCCACACCTGCCTGCTTCCTTGTTTTCTACCGAGCTTCAACCACTGGATGAGACTTCTTGACACCACTGTTTAATGGCTTCGTTATTCCAGTGAACAGGAAAGTTTGAAGAGGATGAATTCTGGAAGCTGGAATAAAGAATTTGTTTTATACTGCTGTGTGCTTAGCCTCTGGTTCTGGCAGACCCTTCCACCACACCTCTTCTGGAGGAAAAAAAAAAAAAAAAGAAAAAGAAAGAAAAAAAAAAAGAAAGAAAGTGAAAACATCTTACTGTTGGTCTGGAGGAAACATGGGATTAAAAGAAACCTCAAGGATTAGGAAAGTGTGATTTTTCTCTAGAGAAGAACGTGCATGAGTTTGTTCCCACCACACCCAGAATGAGTCTAAATTCTTTAATTCCTTCAGTCTTTCATTTTTGTCTGGGAATCAGAAGAATCATCTAGAAATGATTAGACCAGACCAGCTCTCAAGTGTAAAATCTAGAAGAATCTTACAGCATCTACATTGCTTAATTATAATCAAACACTCTGAAATAAATATGTATCCATTATTGGTCTGTTAAATTTAAAAAAAAGAAATATACTCACTTATGTCCTTCTTGGCAATTAAGAGTAAACTCCAATCTTCAGAGCCCAGAGACAAAAACAAACAAACAAAAAACAACAAAAAAAGATGCGACACAACCTATTAGCACAAGAAAAAACAATGTTCTAATAGTGAAGCTTCATGCTGCACTCAAAAATATAATAATCCATACAATTTGCGATGCGACACAACCAATTAGCACAAAAACAATGTTCTAATAGTGAAGCTTCATGCTGTACTCAAAAATATAATTATCCATACAATTTGCAATTGCATTGTTTTACTGCTTAAAAAAAGTCTCTCCAGACACTTTACACTGCTCAGTGTTTTACTACTAAACAAAATTCTCCCATCATTTTCCCAACATTTCTGCAGTGTTGTTCATTGTTTTTTGTTCAGTTATATAATTGAGGAAAGTCAGGCCCAGAGAAGTTGAAAAAAAAAAATCCACTGACAGAATAAGACAGTACATAAGAAATTTGAAAGCTTAGTTACTCTATCACAGACTGGTGTTTAATTAAACTATTTTGACCCTAGAGTTCAGAATCTGAAGACCCAGGAGTTAGAATTGAAATAACTACTCTTGCAGTGTTTTACTCATGAAGTAACTATTGTGGATACATCAATGACCTTTAATTACTCTAAGTGATAATACAACTAAAATTTAGAAGTTGTGATCTCTCTATTCATTTCTATCAAGACAAAGTGTCAAAATATGTCAGGTGGCAACTCTTGGTAATTAGTTTTCATATATGTGTAATAAATACTTTATTTGAAGGTAACGTTTTATTTTGGAAATGATGATTTTAAAGATTCCTGGGCAGGACCCGGACTTAAGAGCTAAGGTTACTATCCCTACTGTGTTAAATAAGCAGATTGCAGGGATTTTCAGAGAAGCCGTGAGTCCTTTGGGTGTAAATGTGTCCTTCTAAGTCACTCTTCTAGTTCCGTTGTCCCAGGTATGCCACTACACAGTAGACAGGAACTGAGTCTTCCAGACATGTTCCAGACAACTTCCAGACAAGTTGTAGATGCTAAAGAAGCGGTGACTCTGAAGTTCAGTCCATGGGTGTGTTATACGAAATGAATCTAGAGAAGTGGTCAGAGTACCTGTGCACAATATATCACTGTCAGAAAAAGAATTTACAGTAACATTATAGAATCAATAGTAATACAGAATGCCCCAGTCTTTGTGATCTTGGCTTCTCTGGAAATGTAGAAAAAATAGAAACAGGTCTGACTTACAGAATCCGTCGAAACTTTTTATTGATCTCTTTATCCTTCCAGAATTAGGAGAGCAGGCAATACAGTATCTTTAACACCAGCTCAAAGGAGTAAACCTTTTCCCAAAGCTTAAATGGGATGGACGTTTTCTCCACATCACAGTGCCCTCTCCTAAATCAACCATCAACATCCTCCATCAACAAACAGAACCCACAACCAAGTGCAGAAGGACGGTGCTTTTGCTGTTTCTCTTCAGATGTCCCCACTGGAGTGTTCTCATGTTGTGGGCTTTTGGCATCCTAACACCCAGTCTTCCCCTAATGATAACCACAGAATTACATAAATCCTACTTTGAAAATACACGGAGAGAAAATACATTTCCAGCAAATCACTAGGAAAGCTCTAACAAGCTGCAAATAAGAAAGAATACAAAACGATTTCTAATTTAAGTAACAAAAATACAGGGCTTTAGAGATGCTATTTATTGCAATCTTCCAGCCAGGCCTTAAATAACGAAATGGCTGTCTTAGCAAGGTGCCTGAGGAGAGGTTATTAACCAGGGGAATCAAATGAAACTGAGGGGAGACAATCAACATGAGACCTAAAAACCTCTGCTCCTTTAGACTCACTTCAACAACATTTGCAAACCCTCCCCTTTGATGTTAACTCTCCTTAGCCTAACAGTTAACTTTAAACCTGGAAAGTTTTGTGCCCATGTTTAAATGTGGCCGAATACTCGTTAATCTTTCTAGAAACATATCACTATAATGAAAATAGAAACAAGTGGTGCCAAACGCCAAACTGATACACAGTGCTCATCCGCTGATTATGTACTTGCCTACACTTGGAATGTCATTTTATGAAGGCGCTTACATATAGTTAGTAAGTAAGCTAAAACACTTCCAAATATTCAAATCCAGCAAAAAAATAAAAATAAAAAGCACAAAGTTGCCCACTCATCACTGAATTATTCTGGATTGAACAGAAGGCTAAATTTCAGCACTGCCAAATGCTATTAGGCACAGAAGCAATGCACCATCTGTCTTGAAGTAACAAGTATATCAATTCAGATATAAAATACTGGTGTGCCAAGCAAAGTATCTTAAGCAATCTATTTTCTGATGCTTGAAACTTAACACAGCCAGCAACAAGGTTATATGCATCAATACTTTGAACCGCTAGTAGTAAAAGAAATTATAAAAGTGTCAGAGCATTAAAGAGTTGTAGTCAGTCCTATGAGCAGAAAGGCCTTGAAGAAGAGTCAGAAGATTAAGGAAGTTTTCTCAATGAGTCACTATTGCTATTTCTCTGAGAAAATATTTTTAAGTGATAGAACGGCTGCCATTGGCCAGAATGACTCTGGTATTTTACTAAAAACCAGTGCATCTGAACCTACTACTGAAATCGATGCTGCTTCATCGTATGGGGGCGTACTGATGTCATGACAGAAAGCTGGGCTTCTAAGGAGTTTGGACTCAACTCTGAAAACAGTGGGCAGCCACTGAAGTCTGTGAGCAAGGAGTGTGCTTACTCTGGGAAGATTAATGTGACCTCAGCATGAAGAAGAGATTGGAGTCCTTTGTATAGACAAGAGGGTGACTTAAAAGACTCCTGCAGATAAGGGCCTGAATTAGACCTAGCACTGAAAAATCTGAGAACAGAATCCAAACATGCTATCCTTCAGAAATAAGGTGAAAAGCCAGCAACTATTAGCCTGTGTAAGTGTGATAGTCTAAAGAATATTATTATGATTAATTTAGGTTAAGAAAGAAGAGTCATACCCTATTTAAGTTCAGATAATTAGTTGGGTATAAGTGTGCAATAATCACACAGCAAAAGTACTGTTCAGCAAGACTCAATCAGGAAAAAAGCTGACTAAGTATTTCTTAATTCCTGACTCTCTAGGCAAAATTAAGTGGTTGAGCCAATTGTGATGTTTCGGGTCTGTCACTGACCAGGTTTTCACAGAAAATAAGCTAAGAAGAGCCCCATTTCTTATGTATGAACCTTGGAAGCAGGAAGTCAGGACAGGAACAGGAAAGAGAAACATAATAGAAGGTATGAGTCCTGGTCCTTAGCTCACTGCCCCATGGGTTCTCTGGAAATGAAACTTGCCCTTCAAATTCCCTACTTCCTGAGTAAGGTAAAGGGATAGAAGGCCTGGAACTGGAAGTGTCTTCCCATGGAACCAGGGGTAGAAGTCAGGGTAACAGGAGTTGGCATCTCTGCATCCTTCTCTCACTACTACGTTACAAAGTAGACCTGGGGTAAACACTGCTCTATTTTCTAGAATCATCTGAATGGGCAAGAAAGGATTTTTGATAAGCCATTTTCCTGAGAGCTCTCTGTGCTTACCTAGGCCATCTCTTTTCCTGACTAGACTTTGATGAGCTCTTTGGGAAATGTAAGTTTCTCCCGCTTCCAGCATGTAAAGCAGCATTAGTTATAAATACTTAAATTTGTTGATTTAAAAATTTAAATCTAGTTAAGTTTGGTATCAAGGTAGATTCCTCAATGACAAGGAAAATCACTTCAAGGAAAGAAAATATTAAGGTGCTCAAGATTCAAGTCAGCTAATATTTGCTAACCATACTTGATGAAGAACAGCCATTCCAGACACTAGGGGAATTTTAATTACTTGTTCATTATTAACATGTAACTATAAAATCAAAGGCCCATCTAGCTAAACAATTCACTTAACCATTCATTTATTCTCTTGACAATAAATGACCACTCTCCTGGGCGCAGAGGAGTCACACAGACACATGAGGTCTGGTCCCCCGATCCTCCCTTTCAGCCAATAACCACTTCCTACTTCGTGGAGGTGTAGAAGCCACAAGAAAGCTTCCCACTACCACATCTACCCTCCAGCCTGGACCTATCCCCTTGCCCTCTGCTTGTTCTATTAACTATGGATGGGATGAGATGTTGCATTCCCAGAAAAGGACAATCACTTCACTTGTGTGCTACATCCCATTTTCTCCTGCCTAACTAGTAGAGCTCAAGTTTCGTGAAGGTCACTACTGCTTTAAGTGGGGACACTGTGCTTCCCAAGAGCTCCTAGTCTATTCAGGAAGAGAAAGAAATGTCCAAGGGAAGTGCAGGGAGTTTTGGAAACACCCCCAGTAAAGCACAAATGATTTTCTCAAGGACATTGCTTCTCTGCCCTACTCATCCGTTTCTCCCTCTCTGTTTATCTTTCCCATCAACATACGGTATAATTCTCCCCATCTTAAAAAAAGAAAACTCCTCTCCATCTCTCTACTGCAAAACTGTCAGAAGTCTACAGTTTCTATTACCTTTGGCACCTACTCCAACAGAGCTTTTGATCTCGCCACTCCAACGAAACGATGCTTGCCATCAGTCAGTTGCTAAATAAAATGGCCATTTCGGTCCACATCCGCACCTTAGGTGGCTCATCAGTCACATCTGAAGCTGTAGATCATTCCCACCTCCGTGAAACTTTTCACCTCCTTTTCAGGTCCCCACGCTCTCCAAGGATTCTCCTTTTTACTTCCTGATTGCTCCTTCCTGGGTTCCTTTGCTGATTCCTCGTGTCTGTCCTCAGCTTCTTAATGTTGGAGTGCCCAGACTTCTTTCTTCTCTAGCAGCACTCATTTCCTTGATGATCTCATCCAGTCCCACAGCTGTAAATATCACCTATCCACTCATGAATCCCAAATGTTGTGCCTGGCCCAGAACGCACTCCTGAATTCCAGGTCCGGATGTCCGCGGCTCTGACGCCTCCATCTGGATGCTTAACAGGCACTTCCAACTTAACCTGTCAAAAGCGAGGCTCTTCATCTGTCTCCAGTCCTGCTGAACGCCACCACCCCCCACCCGCCGCCCCCAGGTTCCTCACCTTAATTAACTACAACTCCAGGCTTCTAGTTTGCTCAGGTGCCAAACTTTGACTCCTTTTTTTACACCACATAGTTAGATCTATGAGCAAATCTTATTGGCTACCTTGAACCAGAATCTGATCGTTTCTTCCCATCTACACTAATGCCATCCAGGTTGGAGTCATCAGTATCTCTAGCCTGGCTCCCTCTCCCCTCCCCCCCAAGTCTTTTTCCTAACGGTAATCAGAAATTCTCAAACAGGTCATAAACCTATCATTCTTTGGCTAAAAATCCCTCCGGTGGCTTCCATCTTACTTAGAGTACTACCCAAACTCCTCACAAGGCACTCCACACACTACGCGGCCCTACGTGACCTGTTCAGCTGTCATCTTCTTGACTTTACCTCTTGCTGTTCTAGTTGCTGCTTTCTCTGCCCCACCTTCTCCGGGCCCTTGCTGGTTTCTGCAAACACTGAGCATGCCCCTGCCCCCAGGTCTTTTCATTTGCTATTTTCCTTTGCCTGCAATTCTCTTCACCCCGAGTGGCTTATCCCTCACCATCTTCAGCTCTTGACTCATCTTTTTGGTGAGGTCTTCTCTGATTACCCTTTCACAACTGCACTGCAACCTCCCCTTTCTCCCTCTCAGCACACTCCCTATTTCTCTTCCCCATTTTGTTTTTGACATAGCACTTACCGTCATACATATACACTTTCCCCCCCTTTTTAAACTTTGTCTGTCGCCTTGAACTGGAAAGTAAACGCCCTAAGGATAGGGATTTTTGTGTGCTTTGTTCACTGCTAATCCTAAGTATCTAAACCAATGTTAGTGAAATGAATTGGATCCCTGATTTCTAGGGGCTCGTGATCAAGGGAGGTGACAATACAAATAAAATGTGTCATTAAAAAAATTACAAAGGGTAATAAGACAGGAATAAAGACACAGACCTACTGGAGAACAGACTTGAGGATATGGGGAGGGGGAAGGGTGAGCTGTGACAGGGCGAGAGAGAGTCATGGACATATACACACTAACAAACGTAAGGTAGATAGCTAGTGGGAAGCAGCCACATGGCACAGGGATATCGGCTTGGTGCTTTGTGACCGCCTGGAGGGGTGGGATAGGGAGGGTGGGAGGGAGGGAGACGCAAGAGGGAAGACATATGGGAACATATGTATACGTATAACTGATTCACTTTGTTATAAAGCAGAAACTAACACACTATTGTAAAGCAATTATACCCCAATAAAGATGTTAAAAAAATTACAGAAGAAAAAACTGTCCCACATGAATACTTAAAATGACCTTTACCATTTGGGAATTGTGTGGCCAGGGAAAGAGTTCAGCAGAGGGCTAATGTGCTCCTAAGAAACGATAAAGGAATCAGGCAAGGGGTGCCAGCAATATCCCTGCAATACAGCTTTACTCCCTCACCTTGTGTTACTTATAATTACTCTTCTTCATCACTAGGGAGATGAAGGAATGACATGCTCATATAAAGACTTGTCATAAAGCACTCCGGTCTCAGTCCTAGAGAATCTTTAACGTTCCTTACACACTTGCCCCGGAGTATCAGGACTTCTCTTGGTGACCAACAACGCTCAGTAACCTGTTCTCCATGGGTTTATCTCTCTCCCCTCTCAGTGTGAGATGGGCCTGGAGCAGTAAGCAGCCAACATACCTGAATTTGCTTAGCCAACTTACGAAATACTCATGTTACAATGAGAAGGCGGAATTACACTTCTGGAATTAGGGAGCTTTTACCCTGTCACCTTTCAATTACACCTATTGGCTCAGGAATAACATGGGGCAATAATGAAAAAAAGTGACCTGTTTGGTTCTTTGTCCTATTCTATTTCCCTTTCTCACAGAAGATAGAAGTGGGAAAGAAAAACCAAATGAAGAGATTTGGATAATATTTCAATGACTAACTTTCAACACTCCAGGACTGCCCCCCCCCTTTGTACTACTATACAGTACAGTATACTTGTTCCTCTTCCCTAAAATATTTCTCTTAAAAGAAATTTTTTCAAAAGCTACCACTTTTCATTTTTCCTATTAGATACCCCTAAAAGAATACTGTAAGCAGACACATATATTCCATTGTCTTCTTCCTTTTTACCAGTAAAAAGGAATAGGAGAAATATATCAATTAAGACAGTAATGATAATGGGAAATGATGTACATTTTGTAGGACAGAAAGCATTTTGCTATATTTAAGAACTTTTAAAATTACAAGATTAATTCATTCTCCATTTAAAACAAGTAGGCATTAAGTAGGTTATGAAAATAACCCATTGCTACTTCTCACATTTCAAGTTTACAGGAATATCACCTACCAAGTATAAAGCACTGAATCAGTATGATGGCGGATTAAAGAAGACATGACTTATATGCTTTACATGGTCCCTGGATAACCTTATGGAGAAGATTACACCCATGATATAATATTCATTCTTTCAGCAAACGTATATCATGTTATATACTGGGCTAAGATACAGAGACAAGGACTATAGATATTATCCTCCAAAAGCTCACTATCCAGAAGTATGCATAAAGTGTTAAAATGAATATAATAAAGTATCAACATGCACGCTAGAGACATTGGATAGTCAGAGTAGTTTGAAAGACAGTAATTATTTTCAAAGCATCAAATAGTATTAAGAATGTTTAACATCATATAGATTAGATAAGACTTACCTAATTATTATACTAATATTTTCATAGCTAAATCAGCAGGGACATCTGTTTGATTTCTCATTCAGTAGAAAATGGATACACATTAGCAAAGATGTGTTCTTCTCTGCTAACAAGAGGGGAAAATCTATTTGGACAGGAAAAAAACTATTTAAGAATGTATTCATCCCTGCATGCATCACAGTGCCTGAAATGACCTTCAATTAGCAAACTCTTAAAATTTGTAGAATAAACTCACCATGGAGGTCAGTTAAGGTGGTATATAGTATAACCACCCTCCCCCCTCCACCCCTTCCATCCAAAAGAAAAAAGGAAAGAAAAAAGAATTCTTGCCCAGAAGGGCACCTGGCTTGTTTGATCACACTTGGAAATATGTACATGCTTGAATTGCTTCTATTATTTCCGATGTTTGTACAGATGGTGTCTCAAGAGAAACAGAGAGACTGACAGACTGAAGGTACATGATAGTAAAATGGAAAGGTTTCATTAAAAGAGCTGGACTTGAGATAAACTTTAGGAATTGGAAGATTTGGGGGAAAAACTGCTTTTAATGTTCTATGTTAAAAAGACCTGCATAATTGGCTTTAGCCTCACTGGATTTCAGCAAGGTAACCTACAGATACAAAAGATTTAAAGTCAATTTATAGTTCTCTAAATGCACTCATTGGTAATACCTAGGTTGATTCTGTCTGACAAGGTTTTAACACCACTTATCCACACCAGTCCTAGAAATTCAATTCATAACCACTTTGAAAGGACTATCATTCCACTGTGTAGAAACATCCCATTACACACTGGAGCGGTTCACTTAAATCACTGAAGAACTTTACCAAAAAAAAGGTTAACAAACTAGTTACAAAAAATTGTTATTTCAAATAATGCCTATCTACTAAAATGTAATTATGAATTATTTTTTATTATTTCGGTATTACTTGAAAAAACTTATTAATTGAAACATGAAACAAGGGATTTATTTACATATTCTATTCATCTAATGTAAGAAACACTAACTGAAATATAAGTGGATAATTATTGTAGAATCATTAGCTCAACCCCTTCAAATCATTTGCAATAGTTTTATGAAAATTATTAATGCTTCAAATCATGCCATGATTCTGTCCCAAGGCCACAGTATGTCAGCTGAAGATGTGCAAACGTACTGCATTAACATGACTAGGACACAGCTTACTATGTGATGCCACAGGACTGAAACTGACTTGAGTTTTACAATGCAGTCATTCTTGTAGTGCTGTAAGAACACACATGGGCAAGTAGAGGACTGACTCCAAGTACACAGCACCTCCACGTCCTTATTAGAAAGACTTAACATACACACGGGCCAAATCAAACCTACGAATTTTATCCCTGTGACATGTTAGGATATCCTAGTTTAGGGAAAAAAAAAAAAAAAAGGCAATGTCTAGATAACTGATGTATCTTATTTTGAAAAAGGTCATCATTAAATGATTGATAAATTTATCAATATATATCTTCTGATGTGGTCATGTGATGCACAGTTAAGTAAATTTAAAATAACATCGTTTATCTCATTTTCCAAATTAAAAAAGGGAAGCCAGTGATATTAAAAGTATTATGACCAATGTCTGAGACAGAAGATAAATAAACATACCTCGTATTCATTGGAATCAATTAGTAAAGGCTTATTTTGTAAGGTTCCATTTGAGACTAAAATAGAAGATTAAAATAAGGATTGACTAAAATGCAAAATTGTACTTTATCTTATAGATTACCTTTCAGAAGGTTTCTAATTTATGTATACCCGCTTTTACATATAAACATATATATATTAAATACTAACTGTAATGCTATAAACAAAAACTCTTAGCCTAGTGGTAAAGCATGGGGGCTGTGCTTCCGCATCATACTGGTTGTGTAATCTGCATCAAGCTATTTAACCTGTCCGTGAATCAGTTCTATTCTGTCAACTGAGGTCCATCAGAGTGTCTCTCTCCTGAAGCTTTCTGAGGGATATTAAACAAGATGAGGCACCTCAGTAACTAAGTGGAGCCTGGCATGTAGTGGTTTGTGCACTGCATGGCCCCTCTGAGGGCACACGATCATAATTAGAACACTCCAGGCTCAACAGGGTACATGGTGCTATGGCCATTCTTGAGTACTTACAACATTACATTTGGACTTGTAAAATTTGCTCTTAATGAATAAGAAAAAGTCTAGGTTTTAGAATATCACAATTTACATCTAGAACAAAGTTCCATGGGGAAAAAAAAAACCTATTTGTAGTACACATGGATGGACATCTATGTAACTGGGAAGTGGATCAAATATAGAAAAGATTTTTAAAAATTCAGAATTTTAAGAGAGCCTAATAGTAGGAACCGAAATGATGACTTATTACTCAGTCCATTTGAAACTGTGGCCTGATCCCGGCAAGAGAAAGTGGAACAAGCATAACAAATTTTGTAAGATTAGAATGACTGAGTTTGAGGACTAAGGACTAATAGAGAACAGGGAAATAATGAAATTAACTTCTTTGAGTTTTACATAAGAGATGAAAGTGTCTTATTTAAGGCCACAAAGGTAGTTCGTGCAGGAGCCACAAATATTTTTATGTCACCAGTTCTCTCCACTCTGTCCCAGGCAAGTATGGGACACAGCCTACAAGTAAACAGTTTGGTGGTAGTAATTAGGCTGATAGCAAGTGAAGGAAGTCAAAGGATAGCATCTCCAAATATCCTGATATTCAGTATGATGAATGCTTTTCTAGGACTAAGAGAGAAGTTTATTAACCTAGGATGCAGAATGTACAATATTGGAAGTGGGTAAAAACTACTTTCTACAGCTCATCTACATAGAAATCCTTATAGCTTACATAAAAGATGCCCATTCTCATCACATTACCTTGAACTCAAAATAGTAAAGGCTCAGAGGTTTTCATAAGCCTAAGCCTGTTTGGTGTACCTTTGTAACGTGGAGAGATTCTTTTTGGGTTTTTTTTGGCGGGGGGCGGAGAGGCGGGTGTGCGTTAAGTGAAAGACAGATATAGAAGTGTTTATTTTTACCCTGATTTAAGACTTCTACTGACAAATACTCAAGTAGGAATCCATTATTCTTTGTGAGGGTATATACAACTAGAAATGTTTTACTTTATTATCTTGGAGCAATGTATCTTCATGCTAATAATTCCAGCCTATAAATTTTAGGGTGGTATTTTATTTCCATATTTAGGACTGGAGAAGACATTTGCCCATATTCCACAACCTTGGTTACATG